TCCACAGGATACTGAACTACATTATAAATGAAACTTGGTATCTATGACTAAAACATAGTAGGAAATGGAATGAGGAACATCACTTTGAAAAAATGCTAGTCACTGAAATTATTTTTAGAGGGCAAAATTTTCACCTGTGATACTTGTTATTGCTCACTTACAGGTACAAATCAGGGCTGGAGGGGATGGCGCACTACAAAAACAAAGGTAAGGAAAACAAGCCACAAACAATTTTTGGCTGGCTGTCATAATTCAATTTTCAGCATTAGTGATAAAAAAAGGGAACTGAAGCATAGTTCTAATGGATGGAGAAGGCTGATGCTGAAAGAATCAGTGGAAAGTTTTATATACATACACACAAACATGTAGGTACACACAGCCGCTCTCTCTCTGCATTTCTTTAAAGGCTTATGAACTTACAGGCCCTCTTTGTGTTAAAGCTTTCACTGGTTGTGAAATCAGTTTGAAAAAAGCTTCTACAGAAACAGTGACAGGTGCCCAAGTTGGCAAACTTTTACATTTGTAGCTATGAAAAGTTTAAAAAGCTGTGCAGCTTAATAAGCTACTCAACAAATAAGAAATACAGACAACCAAGAAACAGTGGCAACAGAAGTACTATCCAACACTGTCTGACAGAACACGTTATGGTAAAGAAGAAAAGGGAAGCAGAATAGCAAATTATCGCCTGAAAATGAAGAAACTTCTGCAATCCTGCACACCATTATGGAAAAGAAAGACCTCCAACTGTTTCTAAAGGGGAAGATTAGTAAAAGTACACCTGAGTCAAAAAAGCCACAAAATAGAGTAACTTTCTGACCCTATTGGTGATGTCCATAACAGTATTGCAACACTGGCTGCATACCCATGTTCAAATGATCTGGGAATGCTCTTCCAGCTTTGTTTTCCTGATAGAAACATTTAGCCAAAGTTATCTGATAAACATTAGACTGCTACGCCCTCGGAGAGCAGAGAGCTTGTAGTGCTGATCCTATGCAGCCAGGGGACCTTGTACACACATCTCAGCATGCTCTGCAGACACCTTCCATCTGCCCTGAGATTGGTGGCAGCAATGCACAGGGTCAGCCTGTGTCGCCCTGCAGCATGATGTGGGATTATGAAGGAAGCGTGTTCTGCTCCACACTTGGCTGGAGCAGCCAAGTCCAATGAGCAACATGCAGTCTCCTATGGAAGAGGGAGAGGCAAAGCACCCTGGAATGTTGGAGGAATATTCTCCTCTCTCAGAAGAGGACATGTACAGACATTCATTCATCAAGAGAAACTTTCCTGGGAGTAATTTAACTCTGGTTATTCCCAGGTAATTTTTTTTCCTGAAGACTCCACTTTTGCTCTGGGAGAAAAATCCTGAATATTTGTAGACTCCTGGTTTCCCATGGAAAATCATTAAAACTCCAAGGAGAAACTGAATGCTGTATGTGGCCACTGTTACTGAACATACCTGTAATGATGCATCAAGACAAAAGCTGCTACAGCATGTCAAACTTCTACTGTGATTTTACTGCTTCCCATTCAAAAATGAAAAAAATGTTGTCCAGTGCTTAGTATAATTACACAAAATTTCATCCATTTTAAGATTCCTAAGAATATTTTAAAACAGAAGTGTTGCCTTGTATCATTAGAAGCAATTATTCAGGGACATAAAACTTAGTTAATTCAGGGCTAAAGCTGCCTGATGGAATGCATGCACTCTCTCTCTGGTCCTATGATCAGTAAGAGAAATTTGGAGGTCTAGGACATTCAGGGGCAGACACACCTCTCATTTTGTTAAGAGGAGAGTAATTCCTTGGAATTGTAATCTGAATTAAGTTTTAAAATAAATCTCTAGAGATTAGTAAATCTGCTACTTTATTTACACACATTATTTGTAATTTTCAATTTCTGGGAGCCCCCCCACAAGGTTGGAAACCTTGTATGACAGTGCCCCCATTCCTCCTCCACATCCATAGGTCAATTCACCACAACTTTGATACTAGCAGGCAATCTTAACTCAGGATTAACAGAGTATTTTTGTCACTGTATTTCCAAGGTACACTTTTTTTGGGTTGCTTTTCTTGACAGTGCAAGCTTTGTAGGGCATGCACCAGGCACAGCATACTTCCTGCTATGAGCCCCACACCTTAGAAGCTCATGGTGGTGGCAGTGTTCCCAGCACTACCCCTGCCGTTAGCCCTGCAGATGTTGGCTATGTGGCTCACAGCAGGGGCAGCACCGCCAGGAATGCTGTTGCAGCTGTGAGCCTCCTAAGGTGGGGGACTTGCAGCAGAGGAAATGCCAGGACGGAGGCTCACAGCAGCAGCAGCATAAGGTGCGGGGCTTGCAGCAGGAAGAATGCTGCCACCACTGCAAGTAGCACAGCTGATGAGGCCAGCAGTGGCAGCAGCATTCTCCCTGCTGCAAGCCCTGCAGATATCAGCTGCACGGCTTAGTAGCACGATCCCAAGCTCCCCCTGCACTGGCAATGCGTGATAGGATCTATCACACATTGGATTGTTTATTAGATCCCAGTGCTCCTTTACCTGTACATCTAGAGGGGCCCTCAGAAAACCGGTGCTAATTTCATGGGTTTCCAACACTGCTTTAACAAAGTGTCAAATTTGCTTAGCTTCTCTCTAGATAACACCATCTATCCATCAAAATTTAGAAAGAGCTTGCCAAACTAATTAGTTCGCAGGACTGATCAAGTTTATTGACATTATGAAATGGTAGTATAAACCTGTAGATTTGTATGTGCAATTTCAGCATGCATTTACAGGCTCAGATACTGGTGCAAAAGAGTACAAAATTGAATGACCGTAAAATGCAGTTCAGTAAACCTTATTGGCTTTCTTTTCCTTCTTCGTCTTTATAGCCTAGATGCTGATGGTACAGAAATAATTAAATGCAGTCTACTACTTGCTCAGATGGCTGACTTAGCAAAGGAGTGTAAACCATGAAGTGAAACTGTCTGAATCCTGGAATTTTATTGCAGGCAGCACCTGGGAAAAGGGAAAAAAAGTATGACTTGCTACATTCTTTTTTTGGATTAGTGCACTGGTTGTTGTACCTTATCATCTAGAGACTCAATTATTAATTCTACTACAATAGTGTAATTATCCTTTAACAATCTGTTTAACCCAACATTGAGACTTCTCAAAAGCCTTTTACTTTTGAAGTGGAAATACAGTGTCTGTGTCTAGTGCGGTGCAATTAATGCCTTTAAAATGTAATTCAAAACTTATAATGTAAATTAGCAAAAATATATCTTAATATTGCTGGGTGTAATGAGTTCCTTTAACTCTAATCTCTCAAACACAGAACTGTGGGAAGGAAAAGATCAAAGTACTCCAATAAGCAGTCTAACTCAATAAGTCATATTGATCAGCAAATTGTATTTTCTACTGATCTAAGGGTCCACTAATGAGATACCCAGCACAATGACTGATCTGGAATTGCTTTGAAGCTATGTTAATAGTCACATTCTGACTGCATAATACCATTCCTCAAAGTAGCCTGAGCCTTTTTAACCTTCAAATTAAATCATACATATCTCAATATGACAAACTGCAGTAAATGGCTTTAATTTTGCTAAGACTTTAAGAAATAATCAGTGAAAACCCTACAGATTAGGCTGAAGATGGAAAATCATGATTTACTGGTGGTTTGGTAGGGTGCTGTTTAATGCCACACTGAAATCCGAACTCTCTCCCCATTAAAATGCCTGATACTCAATGCTATGGATGCACAGCACAACTGCATCAGTTAAAAGTAAAAAAACAAACAAAACCCCAAAAGCAAACAAACAAACAAAAAAAACCCTAGTTGGGAAGGTTGGAGGCTCCTGTTTTAAAATTCATCTGTCTATTTCATTTGTCTTTGTGACCTGACTTAAGTTGTGTGTGTTGAACAAAAAAGACATACCATAACTTCCAGTTGTGTTGGCACAGATAACAGCACCAAAGAACTCTGGAGCATACTTCTGGATTCTAGAAATAACTTTCTGACAGGCTATAGTTGGGTCTATTCCCATCCTCATATACTCCACTGCTTGATAGCTAATTTAAAAACAAAACCAGAAATGTTAAATCAGTCTGACAGAGTATAATCAGAGTAATTAAATCCATATAAAAAAAAAAAAAAAAAAAAAAAAAATCGCATTCTGAAATATAATTTAGCTTAGGGACACAAACCAGTATAAGTGATCAGAAACTGATTCAGATCTGGAACACAACAGAAGTTCAGTGCACATAAATTACTTCCAAAATGGCCAAAACTGGTTTAAGATAAACCTGGATGGATGTAGTATCAGACTGAACCGATTTAATTTAAATTAGTTTACTGAACTTCTATCGCCGATCCTCTCCAGATTCAGGTTAACTCACAGTGCCCCAACATCCCAGGATGCTTTGCACCTAGCCCACAAACCCTCTACCCTTGCAGGGTGGGTCGGTTAGCCTTGGCTCAAGCTGTCTGCTCCAGCTAAGCAGGAAGGCATGCTCTAGCTCCCCCTGGCTTCTGGCCTGGGCCACTGTAGGCATGTAGTTGCATTTCCGGAATCAAAAGTGAATGTCTGTTTACTTGCATATTGGTTCAACCTACACAGTTTAGACTAACCTGAGAAGATTGAATCAATTTAGCCTCAGGATTTTTGACTCTCTACTTAGCCCTAAAGATCTGAACTCTAACTTAAAAATCTGGAGAATAGCAAAACTCCATGTTGGAGAGTATTACATACCATATTACCACATTTTTGTAAATAATACAAAAGAGAAAGAATGCTAAATAGAACATGAATTAGAAATTGAAGAAACTAAGTTACTGCCAGATTCCTTCCTGTTTGAACTGCCCCACCTAAGAATTCTGAATTGCTATTTTGTGGATTATGTTGATTTTTCCAGTAATTTCTAAAAGTGTTAGGTTGCTGAAAATATCTTAATACTATGCTGAAGATAAAGAGTAAATCTTATTTTCAGGTATCAAAAAACCTTTTAGAGAAGTATGAATAAATCCATGCCTCTCCTTAAAAATGTTGAAGCACAGTAAAACATTAACATTTTTTCCATAGCTCCAATGACAAGTACTCATGTGGAGGTGGAATTTGTGATTAAACTGACTTTGCACTTTTTTTTTTTTTTTTTTTAAATGAAGGCCTTTACACATTGCTACCCCATATTCTCACTGGAGCTATGGGATTTTTAAATATGTTTTATTCTGAATACAAAAAAACCTCCCAAAATATCTACATTCCCTTCATATCCATGGTAACAAGCTTAGCGACACTATGGATAGTTTTTGCATATTGCCTTGCATTTCTGCCATGCTCAAGAAAACAAAGACCATAACTCTGTTGTAATTTGGAACTATACAACATGGAAAAAACCCCCCAAAGATGCGCTTTTAATTCCGTGCAACAACACATCCCTAAAAGGCTGCTATTCTGTACTTTTGCTTTCAGAAACAGAAGATAAATCAAGTCACAATGACATGTTACAATACATTAACACTTCTACATGAATGGTACCAGCACCAAATCACTTTGGAAGAAGGATCCTCTAATATTTCTAAATTTCCTTAAAAATGTATCTTCTACGTTAGGGTTGCAAAATTAAGCAAATTGCGGTCTTTTTGGTATTTGAATATAGACCTATATTCTGACACTGTAAATGTATGTTTCTTTTCCAGACCAGTCACTTTTCAAAACCAGTATGTACTAGCACAACTGACACACTTTTTCCAATCAATTGCTTCAGGTCTGCAGTTCCCAAAATCTGACAGATTGTGCACCACTAATTAAAAATGATACAACCTTAAGTATCACCAGTATTTAAGGTGGGATGTGTGTGTGTGGGGGGGGAGGGGGCGGGTTGTGACTGTGTGTGGGGGAACACAGGATATGTTGGGGAGTCGTGTATATGTAGGGGGTTGTAGGGGCAGAGTGTGGGTGCGTGAGGGATTTGGGGATCCCCTCCACTCCCCTCATGGCACAGCAACAGGTGGACATGCTCAGGGCACAGCTCTGGCCAGTGCTGCACATCCTTCACCGGGCAGTTTGTATTGCCGGAGCTTCCTGCATTTGCTAGGCACAGGAGGGAAACCCCGTGCGCTGAAGCCGGTTGCCTTTCCCACCTCTGAGAGTAAGGAGCCTGGGGCTTCCCTCCAGTGCCGCACAACCCTGGCAGGGAAGGCAGTCAGCTCCAGCATGCGGGGCTTCCCTCCTGTGCCTGGCGAGTGCAAGAGCTGCATGTGTGGGAAACGCTGGCGATACAGGTGGCCCAGCAGAGGCTGCACCCCTCGCTGTGATGTGCAGCGCGGGGCAGAGCCGTGCTCTGCTGGAAGCCTGCACCAGGCATGTGCGCCCTGAGCACCCCTGCCTGCTTTTGCCACTGCCACCGCCTGCCAGGGTTGCACACTTGGGGGGGGGGGGGGGGGGGGGGGGGGGGGGGGCGTCCCCCACCACTGTGTGCCACTGGTCCAGGAGAGCATGGGCCCACCCAAGCTCCATGCTGCCAACACTTGCAGCCCCACGCTCCCTCCCAGCTGCAGCCCTGCCCCCACTGCTTCCCTACGTGCTGTCTGGAGCCAGCAGGAGACCGGCAAAGCAGAGCAGGTCCCTGGGAGCTGCAGCAGCATCAGCCCTTCCCAGAAGCTGTATGCTGGCAGGGCCAGGCCCTTCCAATGACAAGGGTGGGAGTGGAGTGCAATAGGGTATGGCTGGGGTGTGTGTACACATGTGCGCCTAGCTCCCATCCTTGTTGACAGAAGGTCTGGCTGGGGCATGCGTACCATTGACAGGCTGTCTGTGTACCACTGGTGGCACATGTACGACAGACAGGGTACAGCTGTTTAATAATAACCATTACAGGGCTCCTATGTACATGCAGGAAGCTGGCTCCAATGTGCTAGATTTGACTCAATTAATGAAGTCTGCTGGAGAATGGAAATAAATGCACTCTAGCAGACTCTACCATCACATCTATCAGCGTCCCTATGCTGAAAAATGGCAGTGGGATGCTTTGAATTAAATCTTGTTCGATAAGCTTCAGTTCAAAGTGCCCTGCCACCATTTTCAGCATGTGATGTTCAGGCACTTTTTATTAGCGAGGCTTACTAATTAAAGCACCCCTCCACAGTGTCCGGACCATGTATAAAAATACCCTTAGTAATGAGACAAAACCAACACACTTCCATTGCTAACATTATAAATGTTCACAAAAACATGCAATGAAACTAATAATTTCAATTCCCACTCTATTCAAGATCTGGCTTGGAACAGCTAAAGATTTGAGTCTAGGGCATGGACAAGCATAAATACAGTAGTACACACTGGAACAGGCAACCAGAGTATTAGAGTGAACAATTATTCATTTGTGTGAATAGTTTCAAACTACTATGGCAGATCCCTTATAAGTATCAACCTGTTATCTCAAGAACTGAATATTGCAAACACGTATCTATGAGCCTTCCAATAAAGATCACTTGCAAGACGTGAAAATAGCAGTCAATAAGGTTTTAAGCAGGGTCTGCAAGCATAAGCATACCCTCCTTCTGCCTCTATTTCCAGGTGTAAATGAGACTAATTATATATAAATCCCAGGACAAAGAAACCAATTATCTGAGATCACCTCTTCCTTGTTTCCTTAGGGCTTAAACTTTGTTTGTTCCCACAAGTAACACTAGGGATGAAACAAGACATTTTGGTAGAAGGCATATGGTGTTGGAATTTGCTCTGTGAATCCCAACACTGTCAGCATTCAAGGTATTTGTCATGAAGTAGGGAAAAGGAAATAAAAGAATTCATAATTGATATGTCATCTCCAAGACAAGCTCTGGAGAACACAAGTGTTTTGTTTTGTTTTTTTAAAGCCATGGTGATTGGCCCTAATGTCTCCTTTTTCCCTTTCTGCATGCCACGCTGTGCAGTAAACCAATAAAACAAACAGTCTTCTTAATAAATCATTTTGTGTGTTAGATTTTATTCCACAACATTTCTCCAGGGATACTTCAGCAATTTCCCCCAAAAGGACAAACCTGGGTAAAAAGCGCATCATGACATCACCATCTCCAGTGGCTGCAGCTCCACCAACTGTGCTATCAGCATAAGCTCCAGCTTCAGCTATTGGAGAGTCTCCTACAC